CAAGTGATGGATTATACAGCTTTTCAAGCCACAAGAGATGCCCACAACAAAAAGCTTCCTGTTGTTAATCAAACTCCAGCACTTTGTCCTTTATTTTCTCAGGCTGTTGAACAGACCTACAGTAGGAGTGTTAAAAGCTGGTAAAACTGCTCCCTTGCTACAGCTCCCTCAATGACTGTATTTTATTTAGCAAGGCAGGTTTTCATTCTGAAAATAAGGTCTTCCATACTATGACATGGCTATGCTTGGCAACAGGAAGCAGCAATATTCATTTAAAGTTGTGCATGTTATGTGTTCTTTATCCAGCAGTTTGCTAAGATTTGCTACATGATATGTTGTGCAGAGCTAAATGTTACTCTTTTTCCTTCTCCTTAACTGGTCTCTAATAAAATGCGTATGCCACCACTTGCATAGCTATGTCTTAAAAATGTGTCACCCACCCACATTTTTTGGAGACAGTAAGACAGCAAGACAGCAATAAAAATATTTTTCCCAGACGCTAAAAGACATTGCAGAATAAATAGAGAGGAAGTAATTCATATGTAGAAACAGCTAGCATCTTGCAATGTGCTTTCGCAAGAAAGAAATTGATTTTAGAAGTAGGAACAACTGGTGCTTTTTTTACATGAACTTTTCTCTCCTGGAAAAAAATACACACTTGAGATGTTCCTCATTTCTTGTAAGTTAGGGACCCATTCCTATAGGCAAGTCTGCTCCCAGTCTTGTACTTACCAATAAAGGCAGTCACATAGCAGCTTAGGCAATTATCAAAGGCTGTGTTTGTTGGATGAGGCCCTAAGGCATCATTTTCCAGAAGAGATATGCTTTTTAATCTGAACGAAAGTGAGCAAAATTTGAAAAAGGAACTAGCAACATACTGCAGTTAGTCAAAGCTAAAACTCTGGTCATGGAAATGAAATGTCATGATTTCAGGTTTGGAGACAGCTGCCTATCTCAGATCACAGCTATACAGCACGCAATAACTTACAAAATCACTTGCATCCTCTAAAATAAATACCAGATGTTTGTTTATCATATGTGCAGAAAGTTAAATGTCAAATAATTGCAGGGAAATGCATTTGATGTTCATCTTCAAAAGTACTGTATTTCATCACCACCTCTCTCCACAGTTCATTTTAACGTGAAACACAAGTTCTTGAAACAAAAAAGGACAAGAAGCCCAAAACAAAAAGCTAGTTGTTAAAGATTTGTATTACTAGCTCAGCTGGAGGAGACTGGATCTGAGAAAAATGGATTACCTCTGGTCATGTTAACACTTAGAGACCTCTGTGGAGAGGACATACTAAGATGACTGGAAATTACACAGACAGTTGGACTGTATAAGCATAAGCCTCCAAAAAGCATAAGAACTCCTGTCTGTTTGGTGACACAGCTGTACTAGAGCTACTGCCCTCTGCAATGATTCCTCTGGTTAACATGGTACAGAAAAGCTGTGTCTTACCACCACTACATTTTAGTACCTTCAGGTTCCAGTTGTTAATAGCAGTTGATATGGTTGAACTTCAACTCTGAGCAGTCCCTGTGACATTTAGAATGTGTATTTTATGCACAGTTTTGCATTTCATAGAAAGCAAAGTTCAAAAGACATTGAAAAGAAAACAAAGTACATCACAAAATGATTAATGAAGGTGAGATTAACAAACCCTTAAGATGTGTCATGCAGTTTCTAAGGTAACCTTCTACATAATTTATTTCTATCACCTTACTTAAAGAAGAAGATTGGTACATTTAGACCTTGATTTACAAACACAGGCACCACAGAGAGGTGCTCAGTCCTGCAATTCTGTTTGTATGCACCTGGAGAGGAGCAGTTCCTCCTGATGCCACTGCAGAGAACTGTCAAAGGGAAGAAAATGCCTTAAGCTCTACCTCTTTCCTGGACCACTGCATCGAGCCAGTGTTAGTACTTAAAAACTCCAACCCTTCTGCTTCTCTGCTGCTTAAACCCACCTTTCTTGTTTGCACTCCTCCTTTCTCACAAAACACTGATGGAGAAAGATTATTCTTTTTTCCTCTATCAGCTTCTGAGCAAACACCCCCTGGCATGCGGCAGGTTTGGGGTTACAGCTTGCTTTTGCAAGGTGTTTAAAGCTCTGGCATGCAGCAGAACACTCAAGCCACCAGCCTCCAGGCGCTCCAGGAGAGGACTGCTGTTGACATAGTTTTCAAGAAGCACGTAAAGATTTGCTGATCTGGAGAGAGCACACCTATGTGAAGAGATGTTCTCCCTAATGATGAGGTGCCCCCCTCCTCCTGTGCTGTATTACACAGTTGCTGAAGCCAGGAGTGCTAATGAGGTTGCTTTTTTCCTACCTATAGGTAATAAATTAGAGGTCTTCTCAGAGTCCCTCTCTCTCTCTCCAGTGAGCTGTTAATTTCTGGCAGGAGAATTTCTGCCTACCTTTTGAATTCTGCCAGGTTTTAGGCAGGAAGGTAGATGTCTAAATCATTTGCGTGTTTGGGACTTAGTTCTGGGCAGTGGGATAGATGCTGTAGGATATTCAGTGCCCCAAGAGTTAAGTGGGTATATTGAATACCAGCATTTGGGACTGAGCAAAATCTGGGCACCTGAAGTTCTTTGATGGCACAAGCCTGAGTCGCCTGAACAGGAGTGGCTGGTAGCTGTAATTGTTAGCTCAGGCATCAACTAATCAAACCTTCCCCTAAACCCCCAGTGTTAAATTTTAACTTGGCTTCAAATACCTAGAACTCTTGTAATAGGCCATTGCTTGACTTCATTCACAATGAAGTACTTACTGTATATTAAAAAGCCCCTACTAGAATAATTTCAAATCAGTTGGAACAGTACAGGCTTGGGACCCTAATCATTTCAAAACTGAAGAGCTGTTTCAAATTGTAAGAGAAGCAGATCATTTAAATAACTTAGCTCTGCACTCCCTCAGACTTCCAGATTTTCAAGTGCACTTCAGCCTGGAAGTGAATGTGGTATTGGACATAACTCAGTGCAGCACACTTTACAATCAGCAGAGTACAGTTTGGAGAGCATTTGAAGTTAAGCTGAGATTGCTCAGCGCAATGATGCCCAGATTCCCCCATTAACTTTCAGATTGCAACAATCTAACATCTGAGACTCTCTAGTTACTTTAAATCACTTGATTGTTTTTGTAAGGTGGTGCTGGGATTTTATTTTTTTTTTTAAGACTGAATTTTTTTATCATGACAAAATCAAATGTTGCAGTATTTCACCCCTAAAGACAAGGGCTAAAATGTTACATACAGACTTTACCAGCCTTAAAAACTGGGGCAGGGGCTTTGCCCTGAAAGCTAGTTCTATCTGTCGTACACAAGGCTGCTATTCTTGTGTTGGAAGACTTCAAAATGCCTTGCATATGACATGGGCATTGAGAGAGCAGCCAATCTGTCCTCAATAGCACTTCCTTCAGCCTTTTGAGAGAGAATGCAGAGCATGTTGATTTATCTGCTCCAGCGCCTTTGGATATATGACATACATCCAGGAAAAAGGATGCCTGTGGGACACAGGGGACGTGTATTCTGCATCCTGCGTACTTTGGAAATAATGAAAAAGCCTGAGACATTCATGGGACATTCACTTGAGAAGGGTTAATTCAACTTATTATTATCCTACTAAAGTCTGGACAACTGAAGTTTAGAGGAATAAATTACTCTGATTAATATTTTGTGAATAGTGTCATTTTATATTGAAATTAAATGGTTTGCTTTAGGAAACAAAGAGGATGTTCTAGCTGTGGAGAAAGAGGGTGATGGATTTGATTTTAATTGGTTTGTCATTATGGCTAAAGAAAGGCTGTAAGGAAATGGCAGGTGTTTCAAAGTTGTGGTCATCAACCTGGCTGTGGGAGATTGTTGTGCCTGGTTTCAGCCATTTGGCAGCTGGACTTGTGCACTGGGACAGAGGTTTCTTTTGCCAGCAGAACTGACTTGGGTAGCCACACTCCTGCACCCCACATCATCTTCCCAACTACGCCGATACAACTTCTGTGATGCCGCATGGTGAACTAGATCAGGAAACAGATCTGGATGACAAATAAATAACTGAGGGAGGGGAAGGTTAACCTAAATCACTTGTCCGTTTGGTTGCAATGTAATTTCATGAGAGAAGGAGAAAGACAGAGAATGAGTGAAGAAGAGAGGAGGCCTCCAACACGCATTCATGTGCACACCATAGCATTCATTTCTCCAGCAAGTTCAAAATGCCATTATTTTCTAATTATTAAAGTTCACTACATTTGACAGTTGGAACAGAATTATTGCACTTGTTTTAATGCTTCTTTCTGTTTTCTTCAAATACATCATACAGTACAAGCAACTCATTTGCCTTTTTCCCAACAAATTACACAGTGTTTCTTAATTATCTTGTGACTAACTAATACACCACGGGATTCTTTTCTCCTCTTCTGTTTGCAAGTGATGAGCTCCTGGGTTTTAGCACAATTCTTGTTATCATTCCCTAAGTGTATGACTTGGATATTCTACTATTAAATTTCATCCCATTTCTAATACTCCCATCCTCAGGGTCATTCAGTTCTCACTGCATGACTCTCCTCTGTATTGACAATGCCTCGCAGCTTTGTGTCCTCAGCGAATTTCATTAGCATCTATGCAAGGTAGTTAATGAAAGTATTAAGTAAGATTGTTTACCAGACTGGTCCTTGAGGAACTTCTCTAGTAACTTCTCTGCAGTCTGGTGGCTCTCACTCACACTGGTGAGGTCTCGGGTTCCTCCCCCATAGAGGAAAGATAATTCTCTGGAATGTGCATAGCCCTCCTGGCTAATTAGGCAAATGTTCCCATCTCCTGTGATGACACTGTTTACAAAAGAGGAGATTATGGCTGTGTTGTTATCAAAAATATGCTGCAATTTCCTTTATATAAAATTCTTATTGTCTCTATAAAACATGGGCAGAGGGGGTCACTTCTGCATTACTGTTATGCTCTGAACAGGTTGTCCTCATGTCCCAATTCATTCCTTACCACAGGTAGATCTAGGGCTTCTCCGCTTTGTTTCTGGAATTGGGACCCAAGGAGCAATCTCAAAAGAAACGAAGAAAGAATATTATCTGAAAACATACCGCGTAGATGTCAGCTCCAATGGAGAGGACTGGATTACACTGAAAGAGGGAAACAAGCCTGTTGTAAGTCTTTTCTCTATTACCTCTCTCCAGCCAAAAAATAGCCTATTGACCTGTTTAGTTACTATCAGTTGTTAAAAAAAAGAGGAATAAGGTATCACAGGTTTAATCAGCATCATCAGGGTTAACAATATCCCAAATCCAAAAGTCAGCTATTGTCTCAGTAGTCACGGGCCACAGAAATTGTTTATCCAAAGCATAGAGCAGCTGAAAAGGGTGCAAGGTGCTGTCCTGTCTGTTCTATCCACTGGAATTTGAGTGCTTTGGGTCTTTTCCCTGGAGTATGCTGCCGTTTCCCAGTTTGCCAGAGATTATCTATGTGACCTTGAGGAAAACATTATGGGGAACCTTTTAAAAAATATGTAGGTCCCTTAACTGCAGTGAAGCTCTGGATATGCAATGTGTCAGTGCCCCAGCTCCCTGTGCATAGCCATGCTGTCTTGCAGGAGTGCTATAGCAAGTCATTAGTAGTTTGTTAGACTTCCAAGCATCTCAGTGATGGGGGTCATGCAGACAGATAATTAGGCACATCTTTCCATCCTTATAGATTTTTATCACCTTTCCATTTATCAGCAGATTTGCTCTCTGTGACCTCCCAATGAAACAGCTTTAGACACTCATAAGAAAAATCTTCATTATCCGCTACCATGAGCATAAAGCTCATTACTGAGAAGTCAATTCTGCTCCAACTCTCGCATGAATAGTCCCAGTGAGGCTGTGCCTCCCTTCCCACCTTGCTCAGGATGTGCCCAGAAGCAGCATCCCCAGAGGCTGCCAGGGGCTGATGCAACTGGAAAGGTTTTGTAGTGCCTCCTTCAAGAAAGCTTTTTTGTGACCCTTCTGTGAAGACCCAGAAGAGCTGTGTAATATTAAACTCTATCAATGTAACCATATCTAGCTCTAAATATTTGATTACTGGTTTGTCCCTGATTCATCTGTAAGTGCTATGCCAAGTCTACTACATTTATCTAATCAAAATGGTAGCAGTGTTTAACACATACATCTTTCCTTTTTGAAGCACTCCTTTTGAAGTAAAACAATAAAAATATGAATCCTGAAAGCTTCTCTTTGACAGGTATTATCCTGGTTTTACAGAGAAGGACTTTAGAAGGTCAAATGCCACAATGTGGGCACTGCATAATGGCGTATAAAGGTACAATAACTGACTTGCCCAAAGTCACAAGAAGAGCCAGTGCTGCAGCTGCTATGAGACACAGGGTTTCCTGGCTCTGGTTCCTGTAATCTGAACAAATAAATGCCTCCTTCAAAATCAGACCATGCCTGATTTTCATTACCAACTTAAATTTGTAAACTCTCCAAGAGTAGATTTTATGTGAGTTTCTATTGTAGATGCTGTCCTTAATTAGTGAGAACACTTCCTAAACCTGTGTTAAATAATAAGGGTTTATAAAAAAATCAGGTTTCTAAAATGACAATATTTTGCCATTGATCAGGACAAGAAAAAACTGCACACCAGTCTTCCTCTGATATTTTTATTCAAATGAAAAATTAAGGACACTTGGCTGCTGAAGGAATAACAAAAGCAGGCAGCCGCAGATCTCTTCAAGGAAGCCTCACACGAGCGTTGCACTGACCACATATAAGGAGTTGAGTACTTTTGAGAAAAAAATCATTTCCTCTGTCAGATGCAGACCTTGAGAAAACTACAGCAGGTCCTCCCAGAGAAAAAAAGTTGCTGAAAAAAAACATAGCTCAGTTTAAAATCTCTTGCTAGGTATGAAACTCCTATATTAAATTACTTGAGATATAACTGAGCCTAATGAGTTGGCAGCTGTGCGCTGCTGGCCTCCGCTCCAAATTAGTGCAGTTATTGCAAGTAACAAACAGGAAAGTAGGCAGTGTGTGTAAAAAATGGGAGAATCTCCCATAAAAGGAGAGGGGTCTGTATCCATGGAAAACAACAGGAAATTGGTCCTCTCTACGTGAGGAAGAAGCAGGAAACTGAATCACCTTCTTTGGACTAGAACATTGCAAGGTTTCGGCTCTGCTAGGAAGGAGCATGTCTGCAAGATCCTCAACATGAAAGCACAGCACAATCCTGTCCCTTCTTGTGGAAGTCTCATTGTTCATCTAATTTGACTGTTAGCCTCAGGGGACACAGAGAAAATCTTAGAGCCTGCTATATAGATTTTAAATAGACTTCCATCTCAGTATGCAAGGAGAAAGAGAGTACTTGTTAAAAACGATTTAAAACCAGAAGGTTAACAAAGCAAGGTTGGCACAGTACACTCTGCAAAACTCTTAAGCCCAAGGATGGCAAAATAATATACATTTTTATCCTAAATCCATAGAGGATTTTTATGTGGTCTAATTGAAATCCAGACCTTTAATTTGGTTCTGAGGTTCTGTAGCTTTTTGCATTGTTCTACGAGTGTACGAGGAATAAAACTGCCCTAATGGGGCATTGAGGGATTCTTCCAGGACATGGCAGTCCTTGGGTGACAAAGGCCAGTGTATGTCATTCATGCATATAGATCTGGGCATTAGGAACACCTCAAAACAGGCAGGGGATGGACAGACCGTTGTTGCACTCAGGTGAGCTCCTGCTCTCCAAGATGGCCCGGAGCTCTCCCGGTCTGCTCTGCAGCGTTATGGTGTGTTATGGGACTCTGCAGGTGGCAAGTGTTTTTTAGTATCATGGAACACTTTGCAACTTCTTTTTTCCTCACCTGTGAAAGGTTATCTGTCTGCAAAAATTGTGTTAGGAGTTTAATGAAATTGTTCCCCATGCAAGTCTTTTGTCTCATCCCCCCTCCCCCCAAATAACCCTGGTTAGACCTTATATCGTAACTATCTGTAAAACACAGAATTATATACACCATTTAAGAGAAAGCCTAACAAATATATACTTTTTCTTTCCACGCAAAGGTGTTTCAAGGGAACAGCAATCCCACTGAGGTTGTTTACAGACCTTTTGCCAAACCAGTTTTGACACGGTTTGTGCGAATTAGACCTGTGTCTTGGGAAAACGGAGTATCACTGAGATTTGAAGTTTATGGCTGCAAGATAACAGGTAGGTCTTGGGAAGGGTTTTAAAACCAAGGGCATTTATTGTGCCTATGCTGTGGGTTTTATTTTTATGAGTGAAATGCATCTTCACTATTTCCATTGTGGTCTGAATGTAGAAATGTGAAAAAAAAAAACCCCACAAAGAAAATAAAACACAACAACCCAAACATCCAGTGCTATGTGAATGTTGTTCTGGCATTATCTTTTAGGTGGTCAGCTTATAAAAAGTGAAAAAAATAAGGTTTAATTACTTTTCTTGCAATTATTTTACAGCTGCATGCAAAATACCTGAGATACATGGATATTTTTGCAAATTCCCATCTTGTTTTTCCTCCCTAACCCTCCAGTCCCTCTTTCTTATGCCTGCAATTTGTAGGTAGTTCTCAGCAGGTTTCCCAAGGAACAAACATACATAACAAGGTTTAAAAGCATTGCAAGGTACAAACACTTAGATCTGAAGCCTATTCAAGCAACCAGACATATATAGTCAGGTTCCCACTAGTGATCAGTGTTGGAATGTAACTCCTTTATATCACACAGTTAACTACCAAAATAACTGTCCAAAGTGCTTTCTGCAGTGACAGCAAAAGGCATTCATTATCATCAAAATACTGTCTTGAAAACAAAAAAAACCCAGGTACAAGCAGGAATTTTTTTAGAACTCCTCCTTCTCTGGTTTTAGGATTTCTATAACTTCTACAAAATGGAGGTGTTTTTATATGTAAAGTAAAAATACAACAAGTTATAGATAAAAGAAAATGTTAATGATTTAATGTTTTTTATAACATTGATTTTTCTAAAAAATCTCTAGTGTCATTTTATAGCACTTAATACAGTTCATTGGCACTAATTTTGAATAGTTCTAGGGATATTTTTTTTCCCCTTAAGGTGTTTCTTTAGTCTTGAAAATGTTTCTTAGGACTGGTTTCCATGCAGCAGGAAAATAAGATTACTGACTACTACATTATAGAATTCCAGGTCATGCTATGAAATCTTTTCAGATTAGATAAAGGTAATATCAACAGAACTGCTGTTACATTCTATATTGGAAATCTTCGTTCCTTGTTAGCAGCTTTTCCTACTTCTAATTTATATTTATCTGGGACCATAAAAGAAGCAACTATTTAGCTTCTGTGTCATTTGGAAAAGCCTGAGAGACCAAAGAAATACAATAGGAAAATCTCAAGTACAGCTATAAATTATATTTTACAAGAATGTATAAAAGATTTCCATTTCCAATATTACCAAAGTTAAGTAATCTGCAAGCAGGTTTTGGCTGATTTTGGAAGTTTTCTCTAGAGAAATATTCACAAATTCAGATGTGACCCTGCACTCTTTGCCTTAGCAAGAAGAATAGAAAACAAGAATAGAATAGGATTTTCTGATCCTTTTGGTTCCCATCAAGCCAGAAATACTTGCGGTATTTTGGTACTTCCTGCCAAAACTTGGATGTGCAAGTTTGAACAAATGTAAATTATATACAAATCCAAAAAGATTATTTTGGATATAAGAAAGAAATAAGTAATTGCTTATGATAGTTGAACTGACTGATATGTCCTGTTTCTGTTTTGGTGCTTGTTCAGATTAACTATTTATTTGGCTTTTTCTCTGTAGATTATCCTTGCTCTGGGATGCTGGGTATGGTGTCTGGGCTCATTCCTGACTCTCAGATTACTGCATCTACTCAAGTTGATCGAAACTGGATCCCGGAAAATGCTCGCCTCATAACAAGCCGTTCAGGTTGGGCACTGCCACCAACTACTCATCCGTATACAAATGAATGGCTTCAAATTGACCTTGGTGAAGAAAAAAAAGTGAGGGGCATAATTGTCCAAGGAGGCAAGCACCGAGAAAACAAAGTATTCATGAAAAAATTTAAAATTGGCTACAGCAACAATGGATCAGATTGGAAAATGATCATGGATTCCAGCAAGAAAAAGATAAAGGTAAGGAGGAGAGAGCCGCACTAAAAAAAGAAAGGTTGCATCAAAAAATACCTTGCATTAATTTTTTACACATCTGTCTCTGATCTTAGAAAAGGCACACAGTTGGGATGAAGCCAAGCAGGAGGACTCCTAGGGCAGCAACCCTGAAGGGATGCTGTGGGAACACTACCATGCCTGAGGGCAGGAGCTTGCCTTAGGACACTCACCTCTGTGGCAAAGGTTTTGTCTATTGAACAGCTAGTTCAGACTTGATTTCTGACAAGGGTGTTGTGCTTCTGTGGCCCCTAGGTTGCTGCAAAATCGCATGCAACGGTAATATGCAACACTGCCAAAAAGTAGAGGTCCCTCTGCAGTTTTTCCACTGACACTGAATGAACTTATTTGAGACACTGAATGACTTTTCCTTTGCTTCTTTTGTGTCCGAGCTGTAGAATGAGAATGGTGTTATTTAACTCAGTGGGGTACCTGTTGGATTTCTGAATTGCCTGTAGACTGCTTTGAGAGCTTCACAGGCTCTCTGTAATGGTCTGATCCAAGTCCCTCCGAAAGAAAGTAATGGAGTTTTTGACGTGTTATCCCATCCCAAGTGAAAAGGACTATCATACTGTCACAAGTGGATCATGTTGGAGGTTGCTTGGGAATAAAGGGCAGCTGCTTCATAGGTTCAAGCAGAAAGTGCAAGGCATTTACAGAGGAGGGCCAAATAACTTGCTGGGTTAGATGCCAAGGAAAACAAAATAAGTGTGGCCCAGAAAAGTTTCTGGGAATGTACCTATTTTGGTTTGTCTTTGAATGTATGTTTTTCAGGACATAAATTGCACTGAGTGTTTAGCTTATTTACCCCAATCATAGAATCATAGAATCGTTTAGGTTGGAAAAGACCTTTAAGATCATTCAGTCCAACCATTAACCTACACTACCAAGTCCACACTAAACCAATCAAGGGTAGACTAGACTAAACCATGTCCTAAAGTGCCACATCTCCCCATTTTTTGACCACTTCCAGGGATGGTGACTCCACCACCTCTCTGGGCAGCCTGTTCCAATTCTTGACCACCCTTCCCATAAAGAAATTTTTCCTAATTTCCAACCTAAACCTCCCCTGGCACAGCTTGAGCCCATTTCCTCTTGTCCTAAAAATCCCTTCGTTAAGTCTTCTGTCCCATTTTGCTATCGTTGCTCACAAAGTGCATTTTTGCCTCAAAAGACACAACTGCTCTTTAGTCCTCTGACCCTGTTCCTTGAGGAAACCCATGGGCACACAGTCCTGTTCACGAACTGGTGCTGCAGTACTGGCATGATCAGGGAATCATATACCAAAATGATATATACCGAAATATACCTCAAAAGGCAAATCGGTGTGGTGCTTGGCAGATGGGAATCCTGAGAGTTGCTCTACATCTCATCTGCGTTAGTCTGAAAATTAGATGTAAAAGCTGTTTTGCTGTATAGACTCATCCATTGGACAAACCTGTGTTTCCTTAAAGGAAAAGCTGAGTGGGCCCATGGATGTAGCTTTTCCAGGCACATTTGGTAAATATTGGACTTCATTCTCTCCTGTTTTAATCTCACTGAATATGTCTGCATTTTCTCACTTCTCATCACTTTTCATCATTTGTTTTGGGGATTAAAACTAAATGAATTCAGCCTTTGCAGTCAGCTCCTTTCTCTTGTTACCATGAGTTTTGACTTCATCATAAAGTGTGAAGATAGTGTAAATCAACAATGGGATCTAACCATTTTCTTTCTAAAATAGATGTTGTTTTGACATGTACTTCTACACTGTGGCTCAATGAGGGAAAAAAATAATGCCATATGCTTTCAAAGCAGTGTGCCGTCTGCTGCATGGCTTTCTGTTTTCTAATACAAGCACTTGCCATCATTGTCAGAAGTTAACAGTTTGACAAGAAAACTAGTGTGCTAACTAACGCACTGAGCCTATCCTCAGCTTTCATCACTACCAGAAATTAACTTTCAAGATTAATGGAATGGGGAGGGCTGGAACTCAAATCTCTTGTGGCATAACTATAATCCTTCTCCAAAATTTGAGACATTTAATAAACTTTCTTCCGAAGCACAAGTTTTCTTTAAAGAAAATCAGAAAAATCCTATGATTTGGGAGTCTGAGAGATTTAAAATGTTAATACTGGAATGTAGTATTTTTAAATGTAAGTGGAGCTGGATGGGACAGAATGCTATAATGAGTCACAGCAGGAA